GCTTCGTGTAGCCAAAAGAGTGTGATGACCCTTACCTTGCATTTTTTCTGAAGCAGCATTTACTAATAAAAACAACAGTCATTAGCTAAAATATGGTCAAATTCAAACACTTCCTTTCAGGGATCACTCAACTGGACAACAATCTTTGAACAGATATACACATGGGCACTAATGGTTAGATATAAACCTAGTTAAACAGATGCTATGTTATAGTTGCCAAGATTTAAATACATAAACATTGACATAAGGGACAGTCTTTTAGGAGCTGTAATAATAGTCCATGAATTAAATATTCACACAACAGAGGGGAGACAAGAGTGCTTTCATTGTGTTGGAACTGCTGTTCTAAGCTCCTCGTCAGCCATTAACTGGAACAAAGCCCAAAGATCAATGAAAGTGGGGACTCAAATGTAATGGTTAGGTATGGATTGACAACATTTTGTCCAAGTAACCTTATTTACTTAATAAGTCTGAAGTGCATTACTGTATATACTGTATGAATCACATATTCTTAGCTCAGATGTTTGATAAAAATGCCAGAGTTTCAGGTTTGATTCCTGTATAGGCATACATTTTCACAGCAGTTTTACAACCTTGTAGCTTCATTGTGCCAAATCTCAGAAGTCAAGAAAGGCTGGGTGTGGTCAGCACTGGGACAGAAGACCTTTAACGAAATTCAGGTTGATCTTGTAAGTAGTTTTGGTGGACCAGTGGTGCTTTGCCTACCTACATACTAGAATTTTCAAGCCAATGTCCCAGTTCAGAGACAGAGGACTCTGTGCTGAAGAGGGTGTCATGCTTTTGTGACATGCAGTCTGTCTAATCAACATCCGAGAGGAGACAGCTGTAGTTCCTTATGATCCCAGCACTTGTCAACTACGCGCCTCTCTATGAAATAATGTGCTCCCTCAAAACAGGTGTGAAAGTAAGCCAAGAAAGGAGCCAGAGAAGCCACATACCAAGGCTGTTTTATATTATAACAGCACACATATCCTGACTGCCTGTCAGAAATGAATGACCCATTAAGAAGTTTTACTTCTACTGTTTTTATTAAACTTCATAAAAAAGAGTGCTGCCACGCTGCGTTTTGTTCAAGCCACATTTGTGCTTGCACTCCTTTCCAGCCTGTAACAGAGACGTTAAAAATGTAAATTACCTGCTCATTGCAGGCACTCTTAATAACAGTACAGTTAAGTTGCTAACCATAGTGCACTGGTTACATTTCAGTCTCACTCTGATGCACCTAATGTTTCCCCAATCTGAACTAGAGAAGAAATCTCACCTTTTTTGATCAACAGTGTAGTTGGTATGCTGGAGCATTGTAGCTGCAAAACATTTCCCTGGTGAGTGCGACTCTTCAGAGGTGATTGCAACATACTGTATATGCAAAGAGCTGTGTGTTCCTTTAGGTTGAAAATCTATATAAAGCCAGCATATTATGGTTATGCTAAGTGAAACCGTAACAAAACCTTTATGTACTGCAGTATTATACTGTACATCTTTGAAAATGCAATAATATTGTTAAAAGCAGATCACTTGCTTTTTCACAGTTTTACTATTTGGAGTTTAAATAGAATTAAGCACTCTGACAGTCATCAGATGTTACAAATGCAAGCAAATAAAATGCCCATATATCCTCCATACTTTCCATCTATTATGCTTCATCCTGTGAATAAAAAAAATGTGAAGAGAAGAAAAAGTAAGGCATTCACAGTAAGCAGCTTTCCTCAAGCTTCTTGTTTCTTCGCACATGAGGGTAAAAGGTGCAGGGTGCTTGACAAAAGGTGTTTGCAAACAGAAAAAAAGAATGTTGTGTTAAAGATTACTACAGATCTCAAGAGTTTACATTTGCAAACTTTGAAAATACTCCTATTTGTGTTTTTTCAGCAATGTCCCATATGAAAAAATAAGTAAAGCCCTTCAAAATGGACTTTTTAATTCAGTTTTAGAACTTAGTGATGCAGTATTTGTATGTCCTTAGCAAGTAAAATTGATATATTGATGTTCTCCAGAAAACTCACAAGCAAAAAAAAAATAAACAGAAAAAATTGATTCTTAGTTACTTGCATGCTATTAATCAAAAAACTCTGCATTTCACTTGTGTTTTACAATGAGATAAAATCAGTGAACTGAGACTAGTCTATTAACATCTTTTTATGTCAACTGTCATTATTTGAATTTCTTACAATTAATCAATTAAAGGGAAAATTAAGCACCTCATCAAAATAATTAAGAAAAAAACAGCTTGTGATGAATTGACTTCATTCGCCATTTAAACATTGTCAGTAATTAATCCCTAACGTGTCCTCAATTTTTCTGTCACTCTCACTTGCCTTTTGTGGACACAAGATGCTCAAGCATTAAGCATCCAAGGTTTTTAATTAAGCTTGAGTTTAATATGTATACAAGGATATTGAAATAGAAAGAAGTAACAATTTCACCATAGAAAATAGATATTATAGTGCATATAGACATTTTTATTAATATGATGCAGTACACTGTTTTCCTTTATTAACATACTGTGTTGTGTATTTTAAGGGAATTCAGTGTGTAATGCTAAGGCAATGAATTAATTTGTTCTTCATTTTTCTTGCACTTTCAAATGAATTGCCTATGGCACACAATACATAATTTATGAAATTCCTTCCATTGCTATCTTGAGGATATAGGATTTGAACATTACAAGCTAATAAGAAAGGAATCAAATGCCAGTACACTACTGAAAATATAGAAAAAAAATAATTTTAGTGTGCTGTAAGATACTTGTGGAGCTTTCGTTACAAGCAATCCAAAAAGACTATTTGCATTTTTGACATTACTGGTAATGGGAGCAGAGTGTTTATTATACAGTTATTCAGAGTGGGGAAAAGGGCCTGCCAATTTTTTTCTCCATTGAAATGTTGACCACTGTGACAGATCATACGCCAACCAGAAACACTGCCTTTACGTTGGTTCAGGCAGGAGAGTTCTACTGGCAGAGTACTACTGGCTATAGTCAGTCATTTATTAAAAAAGAAAATGAATAAGAGATAATGTTTGCCCAGGGCACAGCCATGACGGATAAAGAGGAATATCAACTAGTGTATAAATAATATAATTCACTGCATTTTGATACATTGAATAAAATAAGTTGCGCGCGCACACAAAATGTGACTATATGTTAGGTCCACATGTGCTACTAAACAACATCATCTTCAAAAACGTCTTAAAACCAAGTTTGCTGGCAATTCAAACACAATATCTATCATTCTCGCAAAAAATACAATTTCTACTCCTGGCGTATTACGTTCCCAAATTCTTGCTGTCAATACACCATCTAAACAAATACATTTTAATTTAAAGTAACATCAAGTTATATTATTACTGGATTTTCTGTAGAATTAATTTGAGTCCTATTAACGTTGCACTACTCTTTCTTTTACATAGGGACAAGTACAGTAAGCCGCATGGCCTATATGGCAGGATAGCCAGAAGGAAGCCACTCCCAACAAAACAGTAACAAAGCATTTAAGTGATACTGCAAACAGGCAGCAAAGGTTTGTGGTCTGATTAAATTTAAATTGAATTTTTTGGCCTAATTGCAAAACATTACATTTGGCACAGACCCAGCATAGTGGATCACCCAAAAAACAGCATCCCCACTGTGAAGCATGGTGGTGGCAGCATCTTGTTATGGGTATGTTACTCTTCAGCAAGAAAGGGAACACTTGTCAGGATTGAAGGGAAAATGAATGGAGCAAAGTAAAGAAAAGTCCTTGAGGAAAATCTGCAGCCCTCTGCAAGAAAGCTGATACTGGGACGTAAGTTTTACTTAATAGTGACTAGAAGCACACAGCCAAAACTAGACTGCAGTGGCTAAAGAACAAAAAGGCAAATGTCCTTGAGTGGCTCAGTCAGAGACCCAACCTAAATCCTACTGAATATTTGTGACAAGACTTGAAGACAAATGTTGATCAAGACAGAGTTCTTGACAGAGCTTGAACAGTTTTTAAAGATGAATGGTCAAATATTGCCAAATCTACTGTAGGTGTGCAGAGTTGGTATAGACCTATCCCAACAGACTCACAGCTTTAATTACTACCAAAGGTGCTTCTTCTTACGTATTAGCTAAGAGAGGTGGAGAAATATCCAACTAAAATATTTCAGTTTTGGTATTTTTAATATATATATATATTTTCCAATCAAATAATTATCCCATTTAAAGTGTCAAGTATGTTATGTACAGTATATACTGTAAGATAAATAAAAGTACTAATTTACAGTACATACTGTACATGAAACAGATACAAGAATAAAAAGACGTTCTAGGGGCATTAACTTTCTATAGGCACAATATACAATATACGGTATGCATCATTTTCAGCTACTGTAGCTTTTTTGTACTTGTATTATTCACTAGATTCATCACATAAATCAATTGCACTTACATTGACATGATAACACAACAAGTTACAACATATTCAGAATTACTACTCAAAATTAATAAAAGACAAAGGCAATCAAAAACACTATTCATTATTTCCTGTAATACTGCAACAGTATAGTTGGAGAACCTAAAGGGACATTCTCTTCTGAGGATAAATGCATTTAAGATGGCATGCTTATAAAAAGTTATACTAATAGGACCATAGCCATTACTCTGTCAGTCAAATTCAGTGTTAATCTTATGAAATTGTATTATTCATCATTTAACTTTGTTTAACCTCTAATAGTATACCCATATTTCCAAGGGGCGTTTTGGCTGTAGTAGTAACCATGATATTGGAGAGAACATCCCATCTGATACCTTCTGCCTAAAGATACATTTCCTCTCATTATGGGCAAATTAATAAAGTACTGTATGTGGATGACCCACTTTATACTTCCTTAGGAAGCAGTTTAGGTTGTCTTGGAGAAAGAAGTCATTTGCTTTACACATTTCTGATTTTAGCTTAATTTTTATTTCCAAAAACAAGTATTTTATTTACTACATCAGGGTCTGAAATCAGCCCAAAACCTACCTTGTGTGGTGGGTTCAGTTGCTGCTTTCCGTTTCCTGCTGTGGCTGTTATAGTTCATTCTCAGCTCCTGCCCGTAGTCAGGCAGGGTTTCTCTTGACGTGTACGACTTTCGCAAGTTACGCCCATCTTCACTTTCATCTGAAGAGCTTGTGTAGGCCAGTTCCATTTCATGCCTAACCTTTGAAAGTGGCTGGTAGGGTTTGCAGTCCATCTGCTCCATGGCTGTTGAATCTGTACTGAAGTCATTAAATCATGAAATCCACAAAGAAACCTGGAACAAGTGCAACAGAGATCAAAATTTTTAATTACTTTGGTATACTTTCATTATCAAGCAATCCAGCTACTTTTACCATAAAAATAACAGCTTTATCTCCATCTATGGATGTGGTGAGTCGAAGCCTAAACTTGTCACAGTCACAGTCGACATCCCACCTCCAGAGGGCGCTCAACTTATCTTTTCTCCCTAGCTCCATGTGATTGTTTATGTCCTCCAGGTGTGTCTTGTTTGTCTACTTAATCCTAGTGCCTCCAATGCTCAGGGCTCAGCATTAGCATATGGATGTCGTGAGGCCCGCTTAGCATCAGGTGACCCCACGTCTGTGGCCTGAGGGCATAGGCCTAATCACTGACAACTCCCGCATCCTGAGCCCAGGGCTTGGAGGACCTCACCCCATGATTCCTACATCTTGTCGTGTCTGTGTTTCCCTTTCCCGGGGATTCTAACCTCACGTCGTCGCTGGATGGATTACTCAGATTCGGATCCTTGGACTGTGCCCTGACTTTTCTATGGACTCCCTTTTTGGATTGGATACCTGTGTCTCCTCCCCTCTTCCCCGTCTCACGAACTGTCCCTGTTTCTGTACGAATAAATCCCTGCTTGTTTGTACCTAAGTACGTCTCATTTTCCTCCAGACTCTACTGCTCGCATAGGGTCTTATTACAAGCCCAAGATGGAGTGGGGGAGTAAACCTTGACATAACCTGGGAGAACTGGACCTGATACCAATCTATTGCAGGGTCCACTCACATTCAGTACATTCACATACAGTACACGTGGTAATTCAAATCAGTACTTTTTTTAGTAGTAAAAACAACTATTCCAGGCCTACTTTGTATTACGTGTGCAGGAAATAATTAATAGGAGAATCTAACAAACTTTTCTTTTATTAGCAAATCTGATTTTTATTTTCCCCTTGTTTACTCTGTGTAATATGTTTCACCTTTCTATCTTTACTATGTAATAAGTTTAATCTTTCACAGGTTATCTTGTATACCCAGCTTTACTGTATCATTCTACCTCTAGTAACGTGTGAAATCGAGATGCTTCGTTGTACAACATGCAACTAATGTGCATAACTTGCAGTGGACCTAGATATCAATAAAATAAATAACCCTCATACCAATAATTCATGATTCTTTATCCCTCAGGTAATTTTGTTTAATATAAATAGGTTTTTATACATTTTTGTCCTCTGTAATTGAGGTATTCCCAGTATTATAAATCTGATCTGAACCACCATAAGAATTGTGTATCATCATAAATACCCCTTACACAAAAACTGTAAAATACAACCCAGTCGAAAGGGGTTTGAGTAAAACAGTAAAATTTAGAGATTTGTTTGGATAGCAAGACTTAAGTTTCTTAAAGTACATTATCTGCCTCATTATCTTATGTTGGCTGGAGGACTCTTTATTTTATTTCTTATCTCTGGTTTTAGTACAGAGATTTTTAATGAGAGGTATTAATTACAAAACTAATTGCTATTATTTCCAATACTTGTTTGTTGTGTTTTAATACATCTTGGTATGTAAAACAGATTTTTGGAGATACTACAGCTTAATTTGCATAGGATTGATTACAATTATTTAATTGACCAATTTATCTTGGTATTAAAAATATTTCCTGGGCATTGGCTCTGTCATGAGACATTGTTTCCTGAGGCTGTATTTTACATCAAAAAAGGAAAGGTCTTGCGAGAACTTAATCCAGTGTCAATTTGGAAAAGATTCCAGTAGAGCACAAAAACTTGAAAACATCTTCCTACTATAATTAAATAAATTAAACATTTTATTAAAAAATTAATTAAAAAAATCCTTATACTTATATTGTGCTTTTCTATACACTCCACTCAAAGCGCTTTACAGGTAATGGGGACTCCCTTTCACCACAAATATGCAGCATCCACCTGGATGATGCGACGGCAGCCATAGTGTGCCAGAACGCTCACCACACACCAGCTATCAGTGGGGAGCAGAACAGAGTGATGAAGCCAGTTCAGAGATGGGGTTTATTAGGAGACCATGATTGGTAAAGGTAAATGGGAAAATTGGCCAGGCCAACACCCCTACTCTTTTTGAGAAACACCCTGGGATTTTTAATGACCACAGAGAGTCAGGACTTCGGTTTTATGTCTCATCCAATGGACAGTGCCTTTTTACAGTATAGTGTCCCTGTCACTATACTGGGGCATTAGGACCCACACAGGCCGCAGGGTGAGTGCCCCCTACTGGCCCCACTGATACCTCTTCCAGCAGCAACCTTACCTGTCCCAGGAGATCTCCTGTCCAGGTACTGACCAGGCTCATACTTGCTTAGCTTCAGTGAGTTGCCAGTTGTGAGTTGCAGGGTGATTATAAATTATCTTATTCTATGATTCAGTTGACACTTCAGAAAAACTAAAGATAAACTTTTGATAATATTATACAACCCCATAAACTCACAATTAATTTTACCAACTGATGAAAACGAAATCATCCCAAAAATAACTAATATCAATGTTAATGGTGTGGTATCTGTTTTTGGAAATGAAAAAAAAACCTGACTGCTAAAAAACCTAAAAGACACTTCTTCAGTGAGTTTTGTAAATTTAGATTAGGTTTCTTTTGCATATTTCAAAATAAAGCCTCCAAAAGATGGCTTTTCTAAGATTACATTTTGCTGACCTCTTTTTGTACTTTAAAAAAATGCTGCTGGAATCTTTCCAGCCAATTAAGGCACCACTGCCAGACACAAAGTCGTCCGAGTACTGAGTATTCAGGCAGCCTGATCAATAACTGGGTGCACTGTCAGGGAGATCATAACTCCTTGCAAAGATACAGGCAAGTAACCTTTGAATGAGTGACTTAATGCTTCTATTCCACCAGGAAAGTCTCCTTTCATGACCTTTCTGTCAACCTCCTGACAACCACTATACCTGCTACAAGACACATTGTTAACTGCAAGAATTACCCCCATTCCAGGATGAGTACCACACAGCCCCTTGTGTGCTGTGAAAGTATGACAAGATGAGACCTTAAATTCTCCCTTCTATGCCCCCTAACCTACAGACAAGAAATGAAATGTTTTTGGGCAAAAGATAACCATATTTGTTCTGTGACACCTGTGATATTTAACAATGTTTAAGACAAATATGACAATCAGAATCTCATTAGAGGAGCTTCTCCCCTTCCTGCTGTAGTAATATATTATTAATTACATGTTCAGAAAATGTCTTGCTTGACTAATTGGTAGTTTAAGGCTTTTTTTAAGGGCCATTAGTATTCTCTGTGGAGGACTGCATTCTTGCTGGGCATCTTTTGCTCAAGACACTGATGCCTAAAGGTGTTTACATTCAAGCAGGTGTGGGCAACAAATTAAAAACTAGGCATCACACACTGTGTATGGAATAAGGTCCTCATTTCTTCAGGGGATTTCCACATCAAAAGCACATGAACTGACAGATGTGCAAGGCTCTGTACTCATGTACAAAAGAATGTGCATTCCAAGCGGCTTTAGTTTTGCCAGTTGCTGTCAAACCTTGATTTTTCTAGATTGTTAGCAGGTAATTAGACTGGCGGGGTATGTGTGGGTCATTACTTATTAATGCACATTTGAAGATTTTTTTTCTTTTTTATTCCTAGGATATCATCATAAGTAGACTATTTAACATAATTTTAGCTATGCTGTTAAACACTGACTATAATATATAAAATAAGCTTTGCCAGCAACATAATCCTAGTAGAAATATACTTCTTTCCCAGTGTCTCCTATAAGCTACCAATGCATACTTAGTAATTTTTCCATTGGAAAGTCAATTACTTCATGATTGCATGTGGTTTCCAAGTCATTACTGATTTCTTTACTCTTCGATTGACCTCAGAAGACAGCCATTTAGGGGATTCAGTTCAAGCTCTTTCAAACCATCTGGTAATCACCAATATCATCCTCTTAAAAATCAATATAATGTATATTCTGCTGAAATAGCTTAAACTGCAGGTCATTGCAGGTATAGTAAAAACCTATTCCTTGGTATTAGTTATTATTTGACTTAAGTCTGTTCCTCCTTTATATCTGTTTTAAATTCAAGTTCCCCCTTTTTATCCACTTAACATTCAAGGCACTACACATAGCTAGAATGCTATTCTGTCAGAAGAAGCAAAAGTAATTAATGCAGTTAAACCTCTGCATGCCCTGTGTTTGTTCTTCAGCTGAACATTAAAGATAACATAAATAATTTTATCTTTAAGAACAGGAAATATTTTTTCATACAAGGTAACTTCTTAAATGGAAACATATTTACAGACAGCTTAGACTAAATCCATTTTTACTAAATTTTGACAGATGTGGTTGGAAGTTTATTTGATATTTCCCGACCTAACATTACATAACATTTATAGGAAATATTAATATATTGATATTTGCTGCCTTATTGATTCATTTAGGAAGTTGCTCACTTAAAGGGCATACATCTAACGACATTAGCTCAATCAGTCTTATAATTAATCTATGTATGGCACAGTATGAGACTTGTATATGAATGACATTTACAATTACAATTACAGTTTTATGTGTAAAATATTAATTGTTCTACTTAAATAATCACAATTGATGAAATGTAACTTGTATATCTATACAAAATGGAATGACTATAAACATTTTTTCATAGTCAATGATCAGCATCAGTTAACATTCAATGCTCTTATTTTTTGCAAAAATGATCTTATATTTGTTTCAAAACACACAAATATGTATAGATGTCACATTATATTGCAGCTTTTTGTAAAACACATTCATATGTGGATACAGTATACATGCATATTTATATACTGTATAATATATTCATTTATATGCTGAAGCTTTACAAATGGCAAACAATTAGAAAAAAAAGAAGTAAAGGAAAAGCCTACTTTGCCAAGTTGTTGAAGCCATTAACCAGGTTTCTCTCAAGAATCATAAAGAAAGAGAGATCCTTGGATCAATTAAAATAAACCAACAGATTCCAAAGATCACAGT